GTTCATCGGAGCATATACCACGTCGACATCCTTGAACCACCTAAGACTAGGTTCACGGTGTATGTGTATTCCATTGGCCATGTCGTATAGCCGGTCGCCCCATTTGAACCCAAGCTTATTTATACAATTCCTGAAGCTGACAGCACGCTTAGTAAGCTCATAAAGCAGGAAGGAGTCCAAAACAACGCATCGGTTTGCTATCATTTGTTGACCGTTCTTGTGCCACATCAAGATTGCGAGCATTTCCAAGACCTGAAATGATAATAGCATAGGCAGTCAGTGTACGTACAATTCAGGCATATTTAAAAAATGTACACAAATGTACTATTTCAACTTACCATATTATCCACCCACTGTCCTTGTGCTATAAGCATGGAGAAAAACTCGTTGTCCACTTTGCGATACCCGAAAAGAGTGTGCTTCCTGTATATCCAATATTATAGTATGACTGGTTGTTATAGAAAACCAATGTATCAATTAAGGGATAATTTTGATAATGCACGATACTTACAAATTCGGACCGCGGAGGACATTGGTTAAGAGCTCTAATTTGGAAGCATCAACCTTCTCCAAGGGGTTGTAAGGGACATTTCCAGCCGCTATAACCACCTCTGTATCTTCAGCTCGTCCAGGAACATCCTCCACGAGGACTGTTGTTTCCTTAAAACCTTCCGGAAGGGCGTCATCCATCTCAACAATTATTTGCTTCTTCACTTTTTTGGGTACAACCGGCGTAGGAATTTTAACTGCTTCGACTGCAGCATCGTTGTTTGGTTCATCCTGTAAAGAAGTATTATTGTAAACAGCATGATTAAACAATTTCAAAATGTAATGATAATATTTACTGGGAAGATACTCACAATATTTTCTAGTGTACCAACTGTCGTGTCTGCTTCATCTAACCCTGGGTTTGAATCCTCTTCTTCTTTCACCCCGTCGATAATCCCCTGCTGCTCCAACACTCCCTTTTCAAATTGACGTGCAGAATTATTTAAATGTACGCATACAATCCTATGTACGTATGTTAATAACTGTGTATAATTTTAAACCAAACACGAGATTTTTACCTCCTTTACATTAGCTGCATCCACATCCATGGAGGCTTTCGTTGCCAACTCCTGTAACACCTGCATAATAGAAGATTATAAATTTAAACAAGGCTACACTATTTTATCTAAAAATATAGTTAGCTTACATTCCTAACTACTGCAAATGGTGAAGGGGGATCCCCTAGGGTGCCCTCAAGTACTGAGTCATCCACTTTACTCTCTGCAACTACATTGGGTACATCTCCCGCATCAACCTGTGGCAGTAGTTATCAACTTCATCGGCTATATACTCTATTTTGTGATGTCTGAAACAATCATTACTTATACGTACACGAGAAATAAGAAAGACAAATGTACGTACACTTACACTGGGTTCCTCGTTGTATTCAGCCTGAGAAGATGTATCTCTATCATTATCCTCAGAAATTTCTGGTTGCTCCCCAACATTTGCTTCACTCTCAAGACCGGCACTACGTTCTTCTCCCTGAAAAAAATATACCATACACGTCATTCAGTGAGTACACATATGGAAAACTACATTTGACTATTAGCAGACCATATACCTGTCCAGATGTTGCAGGTAAACCTGATGGATTTTCTACCATCTCTGTGTCAGCAGTTGGTTTTTCATCTGTCCCTCGCTGTGTACCAACTACGACAGGCTCACCACCATCAATTGGTCCTTTATCCTAAAACATAGTAAACCATACACTTCTTAAGCTATATGTACGTGGAGAACTGAAAATAATTGATAATGGTACACTTATGGAAAACAGTATGTGACTATTAGCACAAGACATACCTGTACAGAGGTTGAAGGTACAGGAGATGGAATTTCTTCCATCTCTGTGTCAGCACTAGCTTTTTCCTCGGTCCCTGACTGTGTACCAACAAGGACAGACTCACCACCATCACGTGCTCCTTCATCCTGAAACATAGTATACCATACACTTCTGAAGCCTATGTGTACGTACACAACTGGAAATAATTGAAAAAAATATTTTTACACGACATACCTGATGGGAAGGTGTAGGTCCACCAACTGAAATGTTAGCTACTCCAGTGTCAACCATACCTTCGTCTCTGTTCGAAAAATCTCCTCCATCATTTACAGAAAAACCAACTTCATTGTTGGCTTCATCCTGTACCATAGCAGACAAGTTACAGTTATTAATCTTCATGTACGTACATTTAAAATACTATATATAAATGTACGTACATGCCATACCTGGTCATCTTCCTCAGAGGAAGAGTTACCATCAGAAAGCTGAGTAATCTCAGCAACTGACGTCATTATATTCTTCAGCCTTGAAGACTTTCTTGTTCCAGACTTGAAGACTTTCTTTGTAGACATCTTTTTAGATGCCTTCGTCACACTCATCGGTGCCTTAACCACCGATTTATTTGGGCCCTGTGAAGCATGGGAAGTTTTGGTTGGTTCTGTCTTTTTGACCTTTGGAACTAAGGCAGCACGAATCTCCTTGCGGACAAATTTCTTCAAGTCTTCTTGCATTTGTTTATTTTGTGCTTCCTGCCTCTTGAAACACCTCCTAAGTTCAACTACAAACTTCTCAAACTGGGGATCTTCAGAACAATCCTCAGCAGTGTCCTCATTTTCTTCTTCCACAACAGATTTCTGTTTTTTCAAAGCAGGTGCATTCGGGGCTGGTACATTTCTTTTCCTCTTCTTCACACCTACGATAGACCAGTTTAATCATTGATTGGTCTTCAAGGGACAATAATCAGAAAGTATAAAAACAACATTTACACTCACGTATCTCTCCAAGTTGTGGTGGGCGCTCCTGCTTTGGAAATGCAGCATTACCTCCAACCCATTCTTCCTCCTTCCACTCATGACCAGCTAACAACAGTCGCTCAATGTAAGCAACTCTTGGATCCTCAACTTCATCATCCCATGACAGGGATGGAGGACAAATATTGTCCTCTGGTTTCACAAGATAGGTTACCTCAACCTACACCAATAAGTTTGTTAACCACTTAGAGAATGTACACTTACTTTTTAAATAATGTACGTACATAAACAATTGTACATACCTCTTCAGCAGCCTCACACTCCAAGATGCTGGATGTCCTGATTGCCCGCAGAGAGGCAAGATGATGGATAGACCTCTGAGTAAATGTCCTGTTAGCTTCATCATCAGGTACTAGCTTAGCAAGGGATGGGATTGTTTCGAACGCAAACAGCTGGAGTGCTAATGGGAATCCATGTAGTGCATAAGACCCATCCTTTACACACCTTATCAGTTTTTGAGCATCTGAAGGGGTTTGGAATTTTGCTATCCTCTCCAAAGTACGGGTAAAAGACACCCTTCCCCAAGGGTATTTGCAGAAGAATTGCACGTCCTTCGTCATCTCAACAGTGAACTCAGAAGGCCTTATGGGGTTATTATGGCACCCTATCACACCATCTACCAAGATTATAAGAGATAAGGCCAGCTGCTTCCACCCATCCATGGTTTCCTCCTCCTTCAGCCAGACCACCAAATCATTCACTGTTGGATTCGGCTTCTCCCCAAACTTCTCCTCAAACAGAGTTTTCCAGACACTTTGACTACCAGCTTTAACCTTTAGCACATCCCTCACGTCTTTCTTGTTGGGATATGTCCCACATTCTAGACCAGTTACCAGACTAAATTCTCTTAATCCGAATTTTATTGGATGACCGCCGAAGACCATCCACATCTCATTCACTTTACTCGTCACTAACTGACGACATATTAGTCCAAGAACAAGCTTACCTGAGAAGGAAGACTTGTTAGCAGGTATCCTAAAAAGGTCCCCAAATGGAGACTCGAGAAGAAACTTCATCTCCTCTTTTCCCTTAAGAACTTGTGCTATGTCAGAAAGGTACTCCGGTTTGAAGTACGCGTTCATCTTCGTCTTCATAGGGTACCGGTCTAGGGCAAAGAGTCTAGGTGGTAACTCTTCAACTATAAGATCTTCAGTCGGAGCCACGCTTGTACTGCCTGCAATTACAAGTGATATACAATTAAGTACGGATGTATGAATTCGTGTACGTACACAGTAATTATCAACATTATATACTCAACATCTGAATTTTGGCGGAAAAAGAGATTTCCAATTCATCTTCTCAAATTTTCAAACTACAGATTTAGCAAAATCCGGCAACTTCTATCCCTTTAATTAAACAAGCTTTAAGATTCCGATACACCCAAAGAAACTACAAACGAAATAATATCAGAACTTACCCAATTCCTCCGGCGGCTTTGTCGGAGAGAGTTTCCTCCTCGGGGATACTCTGAGTACCCGCTTCTCCTTCTCGGGGCCTTCCCGCGTATGCTGCTTCCTCGGTACTTCGTCTTTTTGTTTATTCCCAGCCATCTCGAAGGTTTCTATCTCGCCGGAGGTTTCTCAAGTCGTCTTCGCCGGAAAAACTTCAACTTTCTATTCGCCGGTTTTTGGAGTTCAATGCGATGCCTCAAATCAAGTATCCAACAATTCGAACGGTGATGTCGAAAAACGAAGATGGATGAATGAATTTCGAACTGATTTCAACTTCTCTCTCGAATCTCTCCGTCTCTCTCTCCTTCTTCTTCTTCGTTTTCTTCGACAGTTTTTTTTTTTTTTTTTTTAAAACCGCAACAAAAATCAAAAGAAACTAAATCGGTCAGTAACTGTGCGGTTTGGTTTAATTTGTTAGGGGCATTTTCGTCAAAAAATGTTGTAACTGTCAAAACATGAGATTGAAATCTCACTTTGCCAATCTGTGAGACAAAATCTTTTTTTCCCCCAAACGTGAAAATTTCTTTTTTTTTTATATCTTAACACCATTTTCTTTTGCAGACGAAAATAGGGTTTTTTCTCTCAAGGAACGTTTTTTGTCGAGAACAAGTTTCTGGAATTTCTCTCAAGGACAAAGAGCCGATATTCGGCTGGAACAGCACCGGTGGACGAAATCTCCGCCGGGAAATGCTTCTCGTCGGTGATAAAACAGAGGTAGCTAAAGCCATTGTTTCTTGTTTCCTCCCCTGACTATTTCGTTTCCACCATGGGTTTTTCGAATGTAGGGTTTATAGGGGTTTTCAGTTTCTCAATTTCGAGGATTTTGTATCCTTTATTTTGGAGATTTTTGATGAATTTCGATTTTTTTTTCAAGGTTTGGGTTTGATCTTGGAGCCTAATTGGTTGATTTGACTTTTGTGAAAGCTGCATTGTCTGTTTCTCCATTATAATTCCTTTTGGTTCTGTGTAGCTTTTTGTTAAGCTCTTGACAAGTGAAACTTTAGGATCTATTTAGTTTCCATTCTTAGTGCAATCTTTATATCTTGCTTTTGGGGAGTTTTATGTTATCTGTTTTGGTGTAGGATTGAAAATGCTTCCTCTTCGACGTTTGTGAAAGCTGCATTGTCTGTTTCTCCATTATAATCCCTTTTGGTTCTGTGTAACTTTTTGTTAAGCTCTTGACAAGTGAAACTTTAGGATTTATTCAGTTTCCATTCTTAGTGCAAACTTTATATCTTGCTTGTGGTGAGTTTTATGTTATCTGTTTTGGTGTAGGTTCTGTAGGATTGAAAATGCTTCCTCTTAAACTTTATTATTTTGTTTGATGTGTGAATTATTCTTTCCTTTTAATAACAAAATATATCTCTCTAACCTATTTATCGGGATTATTGTTTAAAATGCCCTTTTTTGGGAAAAACTTATGAAAATGCCCTTTTTTGAATAGTTTACGGATTTTGCCCTTTTTTAACACTTAAAAATGTACGCATTTAGGATTTTTTTTTCCAAAAACACGTACTTTATACCAAATACTAAACCCTAAGAACAAATGGAACCGACTAAACCCAAACATAACGAGTGAAACGCATGTTAAATCATATTTTTGGAGCATGAAAAAGGGCAAAATGCATAAACTATTCAAAAAAGGGCAAAATCCACAAATGCCCTTATGAAAAAGGACAAAATCCGTAATTTATTCCTATTTATCTTTGTTAAATCTTTCTTAAAAGTCTCACCATCTCTCTTCTTTTCTGAAACGCAACGCAGAAGGTCCACTTTTCATCCAAAAGTGAGGCTGGTGATGGTGGATCCGGTAAGGCTGGTGATGGTGGATCCGGTAAGGCTGGTGATGGTGGATCCGGTAAGGCTGGTGATGGAGGATCCGGTAAGGCTGATGATGGTGGTGATGGAGGATCCGGTAAGGCTGATGATGGAGGATCTGGTAAGGCTGATGATGGTGGATCCGGTAAGGCTGATGATGGTGGATCCGGTGAGGCTGATGATGGTGGTGATGGAGGATCTGGTAAGGCTGATGGTGGAGGATCTGATAAGGCTGATGGTGGAGGATCTGATAAGGCTGATGATGGTGGTGATGGAGGATCTGGTAAGGCTGATGGTGGAGGATCTGGTAAGGCTGATGATGGTGGATCCGGTAAGGCTGATGATGGTGGATCCGGTGAGGCTGATGATGGTGGTGATGGAGGATCCGGTAAGGCTGATGGTGGAGGATCTGATAAGGCTGATGATGGTGGATCCGGTGAGGCTGATGATGGTGGTGATGGAGGATCTGGTAAGGCTGATGGTGGAGGATCTGATAAGGCTGATGATGGTGGATCTGGTCAGGCTGATGATGGTGGATCCGAGGATGATTATAAGCCTAATGAGGATCCTGAGTCCACTTGGTTCAAAGTGGTTAAACTGCTGATAACAAGATATGTCTACAAGGTGGCCAAACGATCATGTGAGAGGAGTGTAAACCGTCAAAAGAAGTTTATCAGCTTTATGAATGCTTCTCAAGCACAGAAGCTTCATTTACTCAAGAAGGCTACAGGGAAGGACAGCGAATTTGTGAAATACACCGGGTTAAAGAAAGCTTGCAGGGATTTTGCTGAGACATACACATCATTTTTCATATGGCTGGCTTTGGGATCATTTACCTTGATCTCCGCAGGTTGGGAGTTGCACAGTAGATCTCAAATGGAGAAAGGATTAGCATCACTAAGGGTGGAGATGAACAACAACGCTGTTGTTATTTCTGAATTTAAGAAGGAGATGAGTTCAAAAGATGCCTCTTATATGCATCGATTTGAAGAAATTACAAGGATTGCAAACCAAAAGCTTGAAGATTTGGAGAAGAAGATCGAGCTTCTCACATCCAAAAAGTGAAAGCCATGTTGGAGGGATAATTTAGTTCTGGATTTCTATCTATCAATGACCTAAACTATAGACAATTTGGTTGTGTTGTCATTTGTATTATGCTCTTTTGCAAATGATGTCTTTTGAATGGTTCAAATACTACTACTAGTTGCCACTGAATGAATCTTTGTTGTGAATCTTGAGGATGAAAAATTGATAACATATGTTCTTTTACCACCAATGCTCTTTTGCTGCCTGCATCTTCTCCCTTTCAAAACTTGGATGTCTTATTCTGGCTCCTGCTTATTCCCAAGCAAGCAGAAATAAACTCTCTTTTTGTTTCTGTAATCGTAATGTTTCCCAAGCAAGCAGTAGTACAATAATGAGGAAAGATTGAATTAATCGAGTCAACACAAGACAATAGAGGAAGAAATGTTTCTGTAGTTTTATCCTTTAACCTCACGACAAACTCTAAGCTACCTAAAAGCTGAAACTAGTAAAACATGAAACTATGTTTTCAGGTGCTTCTCCAATTTATCCACATGCTTTTCTTTAACTCCTTAGCATGGTCGGCTGCCTTTAACTCATCATGTTGCAAGCTTTGTCTGTGTTGGGAGCTTATAGACCATTTCACTTCGACATGGTTTAATAAGCCTGCACCAGATTTTAACTCTTTAGCGCCGTCACAGGTCATAGCACGCAAGTAATGGGTTTCTAAAATTTGATAACCAGACCTGTTTTAACTTCACTTACTGCTTCCTGCTTCAGTGTCCCATTAACTGGAGATAGTTCTCATTTGACGACATGAGGGGACTCCAATTCTGTTTTCCTCTTATGTGTGTTTTGCCTTCCACTTTGGAAAACTGCCAAGAATTAAATCAGACCTGAGAGCTGGATCTCAAGATAGAGAAGCTCAAAAGGTGTTGATATGCTTAGCTGAGATGTCTTCCCAATTATTTTCCCAATCTCGAAGCCAGAACCTCAGGAACCTGTAAAATGTCCACAAAGCAGAAAATCATGAAGTGTTATAATCATATAATGGTGGCAACTTAAAAATCAACAAACAGGTCTTGTTTAATTAGACGAGGCCGCAGAAGTACAATTCAAAAGATACCATGAAAGCCTGATATGCAGATGGAGAGATCATTTAATATGTGGCCACACGGCACCAGTCTCATTCCAATATGCAAATGGGGCCATTTATTAGTATATGGCAACACATTATCAGTCTCGTTCCAATAAGAGAATATTACCCTAAAGCAAGCAATCTACAAAGATACCAAACCAAAACCAAAGGGGATAGAAGCCATCTAATGGTAGCAACCGAACACAACTTAACACAAGAAACAGATCTGTTAAGGTAATTGAGAATTATGTGGTAAGATATATGTAGCTTTATAGTGAACTTATTTTCAGTAGAGACAAAGTAGTGATAAAACGGAGATTAGGCCACATAAACAAATTAAAAGTTTCCCTGAAAGCATGATATGCAAATGGTGAGGTTAAATAATATGCGGCAAACAAAGCATCAGTTTCGTACCAATACAAGAATTTGACCCTAAAACAGGCTATTTACAGAGATACCAAACAAGGGAGAAATATTCAGTAAAACGTCAAAGAATTAGAGAATGGTATGAAGTGTCAACAGATATTGGATAGCTAGAAAAATTCACATGTATATATACGTTTTTCCAACATATTTGAATAAGCAAAACTGTGAAACGTACCATGGCGCCATATTGCTCTGGTTTCGCTACAAGTTGCATACAGCAGTTATCGACAAGGATACTTTTTAGCAACCTCGCGACAAGATAGCAAGAACAAACAATCTGCAGGTTTCATGATGTTAGCCTTATGCACCGCTGCAATTTTCTTCCTGTTGTTGAGGTAGGCATACTCAAAAGCATACTCTGCAATACCCTCCGAACGGAACTTTGTGATCGCCTCTAGCAGAGAAATAGGATCAGAACAATTCACGGAAAGTGAAATACACACAACAGTGATAAGAAACTAGCTCATGCGTAAAGCTGCACTAACAACAAGATCATTTTCAAGAAGTAGGCATAATTTTCAGTCATAGATAGTTAGCCCATAATCGTCGATTTACGGCATACAATGTTCAACGAACAATGTTTCAAGTTTCAAATTAGATGCCAGTGGAAATGACCCTAAAGAACATGCCAATGACAGGGCAATTCCCCCCAAATCTTTATGGAATATACAGAAGCTAGCATAAAAAACCTTTGCTCTAAGCTAAGATTTCCACAAATTCAAGATAAGATGCAGGAATCTCAGACTGAAACCACACGAAAAGGCATAGCATAAGGCCGTAATCCAGTTGAAGAATTCACCAAAGAAGATTAAACAAAGAGCAGAATCAGAATGCCCAAATGAACAATAAATAGTGTACTCGAGTCCAAGTTGAGCTCAGCATTTAGCACTTACATATCCATGCTAAGTTGGATAATTCTATCTACAATTAGAGAAAGAGCTAGGAGCAATCAAATGGTAGCAACCGAGGGCAGCTTAAGACAAGAAACAGATCTGTTAAGAGTTAATTGAAAATCCGAGGGGCAAAGGAAATATATCTATGCATATAGAAACGATCGAGTTCATTTCCCGCCCCACGTAGACATCATGCAAAAACATATCCCACCGGCCAAGGTGCAAGAAATGAACGCATTATTGGGAAGGCTATCAAAAAGGAGAGAAACAAAAAAAGAAGGTATAGCAGTGAATTCAGAGGAACGATCGTTGGTGCAACAACGCCAACATTTTGACAGACGCTGCAATTCTTCAGGGCTGAAAGTTTTAACCTGTCAAGAACCAAGACCACATCTGAATCAGGTTTGCTAGCCAAAAGACCATGGAGTGGCACGCCAAGAACGAGACCACATCTGAATCAGGTTTGCTAGCCAAAAGACCATGGAGTGGCACGCCAAGAACGAAACCATAACATCAGCTTAGGATTAAGAATTTAAACATACCAACCATACCAACCAGCTACTGTAACGAGCATGTTGCTCTTTGAGAAGCACAGGGGATGCAGACAGGGATAAGGATATTTAGGTAGACAAGGCTGAGATGCAAACACAAATAACATATATCTTCACAATAGAACATGCAAGGATGGATATCAAGGTAGCCAGCGATGAGGTGCAAAAGACAGTAACATATTATCGCAATAGAACATGTGAAAGAGTCAGATGTTTTGTGGAACTGTTTATTTCCTTTCATAGTTGTGTCGGGTTAAGAAGTTGCATGGTTGGTTCCTCGATTCAAATGTGAGGGTGAAGCAATAAAGCACAAAGACCCTAACAGTAAAATATAGTGTGCAAAGTTCAACATCAAGATACCAGTGGTAAGGAAGGAAAAATGTCTAACAAATTAAGCAGAAAATGTAATTAGAAGAGAGATGGAAGAAAAACGGAGCCACACAATGCAAAATGAAGTCATCCAAGCAAGGCACAGAAACCACTATCTTAACCAATCATGGCCTTTCAGCAGCGAATATAAAAATGAAACGCTATGTGTAAACAACAAATTACAAAACCATTAATAGATAAGATCCATACATAGATACTGCAACTCCATTAACAAGAGTACTTAACAACAAACCCATAAAAGCATTACACAAATACATAGTCCAAAATAACATTGGATTTGGGGCAGAACATAGAACACCACAAAACAAGAAGATGCCGGCAAGGACTGAATTGTTCAGGGCCTGGATTTACCCTCCTCGAGCAAAAACAGCGTAATTGCCTGCAACAAGACCAGTAAAACATAATGGCTAGATTGAACACATTCATCTTCTTCTATAGGACAAGAATCAAACTATTACTTACATTACGATATCGGACAGATCTATCATACAGCTCCATCGTACGCTTGACGTGCTCCTTGTACATTCCGTCTACTTTGTGCAAATGCTCTCTTCTCTTGTAAAGATTTGAAAAACATCAATGTGCTTCACAACTGGGATTTGAAACGCATAATCAAAATTCATGCAATAAATTCAAAGACATTACTTCTGCAAGCATGGCCAAAATATCCGCCCAGAAATGCCACAGCAAGAACCAAGCCGTCCTGCTCCTTCCACCCATGCTTGACGCTCGAGGACAGTGGGGAAGATGCCATGGTTGAATACGCTCTTCCACAGTACTACAAATCTCGATTCAAACAATACAATCAAAAACAACGAAACTGTTTACAGAATCCGGACGAAAGGAATCATTTTTGCTTACCTTTGCGACAATCTTTTGCGTGTGCTTCATCATCTTGCTCCTGCGTCTCGCTGATGAATTAGGGATTCTGCTTTACCAATCTTCTTCCTCGACCAAGTTTCTTGTTTATTTATTTAAGATAACACATGAGTACAAGTTTGACCCAAAACAAATGAGTATAAACAGGCCCATTAATTTGAAACAGGCCCAATATCTTTTTTCACCTCAAGTGATTGTATGCAAATTGGTGATTTGGATCGCTGTTACACAAACCACAAATATTTCATGTCACAGCACTCAGTAAATATAAATTTACCTACGTTAAGTTTTCAAATGGTCGCGGTTGTGTCCAAATGCTTTGTGCCATGACACCGTAAGAAGTTGATTTATGACTACATGTACCAACCGAATATGCGGCAACACTGTTGAAGGTTGTTCTCTTTGATTTCTCCCGTAAAAAGAGAAAGACAACGAAAAGGGTGAAACTAAGATGATGAAGAACAAAGGGATTTGCAAGTAGAAGAAGAAGAAGACGTGATCTTGTCAATAAGAAAAAAGATTATGGGTTTTTGTATTTTAACGAAGGTCCAATCAATAAGTGTGTTTTGTTAGATTAAGCTTAGCTAAGGCCCTAAGTACAGTTGTTGGAGTTGCTAGACTTTTATGGTTAGTTGTTTCAACTTTGCTTGTAAAATTGGACTTCTCTTTAGACGTCTAAGTGGTTGTAGTTAATCTCAAGGTCTTAGTGTGTGTTTATAGTAAGTAGAGAAATCTACCTTTACTTAAGTATGTATGAGAGAACATGCCACATATATATATATACCACCATACTTTTGCCAACTTGGCCAAAATATCCACCAAGAAATGCCACATAAAAAACCAAGCCGTCATGCTCCTTCCACGCTTCCTTGACGCACAAGAACGATGGGGAAGAGGCCATTATATTGTTGAAAACGCTCTTCCACATTATTACAAAAATCGTCCGATTCATCGTCTTCTTGTTCCTTAGCCGATGATTTAGGGCTTTTTTTTTTTTTTGTAAATGCCATTTTTATAATAAGAAGTTTTAGTTTTTGGAAAAAAATATTTTTTTCTATGTAGAAAGACACTTACATCCTTCATAAAAGTTTCAGTTAATATGTTTGCTATAAATAAACTAAAATCATCTTACTATATAAAGTACTAGATAAATTTATGAATAGTAATGTGATTCGGCTACAATCCGTTATCCTATTTTTCTCGAATGACAAAACCATTAGGGTGCGATTAGATGGCAAAATTACTTAAAAAGGATATTAGTTTTATTATTATTGTTATCAATGCTTTACTTATTTATTTGATGTATTTTTCCGTAAAAACGAGTTTTTCATTTATTTATTTTTACTAAAAACACGATTCTATGTCTTTCCGCCAAAAATATGATTTCCGGTTTTTCCGCCAAAAACGTAATTTCATGTTTTTCCGCCAAAACGTGATATCCGCTTTTCCTGCCAAAAAAATATGATTTCCGGTTTTACCGCCAACACGTAACTTCTGGTTTTCTCGCCAAAAACGTGATTTCTGGTTTTCCCGCCAAAAACATGTTTTTCATGATTCCACGTTTTTCCGCCAAAAACTTGGTTCCACGTTTTCCCACCAACAACGTGATTTCCGTTTTCCTACTAAAAATATGATCCCACGTTTTTCTGCCAAAATTCCGTATTTTTCCGCCAAAAATGTAAATTTCTTTTTTTTTTTCTCGAAAAGATGTGAATTTCATGTTTACCGCCAAAAACAGAAATTTTGTTGTAATCATATTTATAATTATCAAATATTAAAATTTGTTAATAGATATAGTAATAAAAATTAAGAATATATTGGTAAATCTATACTATATAAAAGTCGAGGCTATAAGCCTCTCAGACCGTCCACCTAGGATTTTAAACCACCAATTGTAATTAGACATGTCATTAATTATTATTTTTAGATTTTTGAAATTGTCTATATTAAAATTTAAGTAAAAAGGAAAAGAAAAACAATGATGTGGTTAAAAAAGAATTTTAATTGACCAATAACACATGAAAAACAAATTTGTTAATTTTCCTTTTGGTTAAGAAAATTAATTTTTTTTAGATATAGACATATAAATTTGTTTACTTTTTTAGTTTTCCAATTTCTTTCAAGGCCAAAAAAGTTCACTATTTTCTAACACATGTCAACATCTGATCAATAAACTTGATACGTGGCACAATCCTATGAGTTATTAAGTTTGAAAACTATACTTTATATAATAAAGTATGGTTTTCAATGTTAGTAACTCAAACGATCGTGCCACGTGTCAAATTTATCGATCTTAGATTTTGATATGTGTAAATCAAAAAAATTCTACAATGTTTGCATCTAACTGGTCACCACGAACCTATATACAATGCCTCCACTACACCACCTGATCCAGCATCTTGGCTCATTGACAGTGGAGCGACGCACCACATAACAACTGATCTCACCAATCTCTCCATGCACTCACCTTACACTGGCTCGGAGGAAGTGATTGTGGGCAATGGAGATGGTCTTCAGATAACACACACTGGTTCCCTCTCTTTACCACACTCTTATCACATTCTTTCTCTCTATAATGTTTTCCGAATGCCTGCAATTGCCAGGAATCTAATCTCGGTGCGTAAACTATGTTCTTACAACTCTGTTTCGGTGGAATTCTTCCCCGATTGGTTTCAGGTGAAGGATCTCAGCTCGGGAACGCAATTAACCACAGAAAAGACGACTAATGGTGGATATGAATGGCCAGCTTCTGTTTCGGATGAATCTCCTTTATTTTTTTTGCTGCTTCAATAAAAAGTCCAATGCCTATTTGGCACTCTCGTCTTGGACACCCCTCTTCTTATACTTTACAAACAATTGTCTCTCATTATTCTTTGCCTATTTCTAATAAAGATTCATTCCTTCTATTCAATGCTTGTTCCACTTCAAAAAGTCATAAAATAACTTTCTCTATCTCCACCCTCACCTCAACTAAACCACTTGACCTCGTGTACTCTGATGTGTGGACTTCGCCAGTCTACTCCATCGATGGCTACAAATATTATGTCATCTTCGTTGACCACTTCACCCACTACGTTTGGCTATACCCACTCCGCCGAAAATCTGATGTTCTTGAAACCTTCACTCGCTTCAAAAAGCTTGTTGAAAACAAACTCGACACAAAACTCAAAACACTTTATTGATTATTCTGATAATAACGGCGAATACATAGCCATGACCAAATTTCTAGCCGAAAATGGGATTACCCACCTCATACAACACAGCATAATGGTTTCTCTAAACGCCGCCATCGTCACCTTGTTGAAACAGGTCTGACCCTCCTCTCTCACGTTTTCATACCCATATCCTATTGGAGCTTTACCCTCACCCCCACAACTTATCTTATTAACCGTATGCCCACCTCCACTATGGCATACTCCTCTCCTTTTGAATGCCTATTCGGCTAAACACTAAACTACACAAAGCTTCATGTTTTTGGTTCCCTGTGCTACCCTTGACTTCAGCCATACACCAATCACAAGTTCGAACCTCGCTCCACTCCTTACGTTTTCCTTGGCTATTCCCAAACACAAAGTACTTACCTTTGCTTAGACCCTTCCTCCCATCGCATTTACACCTCTCGCAATGTTCAATTCCATGAAACTTCCTTCCTATTTAGTCAAATCCCCTCATCTCAACCCTCTGCCCTGAACATCACTATATGGTTCCCGTCGACTTTACAGCTCCCTGGCCATTCGAATACACCGTCGTCCGTAGTTCAATCGTCCCTAGGCTCGGATCCTTCACCGCCGGCGACCACTCCGACGGACCAATTTCCCGACCATTCTGCTCCTCTGGCTGATGATGTCGTCTCTGGCCAAACAAGTCCCACTACAACGGGGCCTATTTTCGAAACTGGACTCAATTCTGTAAATTCTTAGGTTTCAGCAGATGCGTCAAGCCAAGATGTATCTGGCCCACTAACCTCTATGTAGGAGACTGCAGCTGGACCTACAACAAAACCCACCACCATCACGTCATCGTCTTCCTCATAGACCAACAGTCATCCGATGGTCACGAGAGCTAAAAACAAAATTATCAAGCCGATTCCAAAATTCTCGATGCTTGCCGCATCCACTCTAGAAACCGAACCCAAATCTCTAACTCATGCTATCGGTAACCGAATCCAAAATTCATGATAACAAAATTATCAAGCCGAACCCAAATCGGTAACTTATGCTATGAAGGATGCTCGGTTGCGTGTGGCTATGAGATCCGAGTACGATGCACAGATTAAACATCGAACTTGGGATTTAGTTCCTCATGATCCTTCATATAATCTTGTGGCACAAAGTGGGTTTTTCGCATCAAACAATTTTCTAATGGGAATATAGACAAATACAAGAAAGGATTTATGGTAAAAGGAATTTACCAACGACCCGATCTCGATTTTGAAGAAACTTTCAACCTCGTGATTAAAGCAGCTACGGTTCATCTTGTTCTTGGCCAGGTTGTTGATCGTGGTTGCGATCTCCTACAGCTAGACGTCAACAATGCTTTTCTGCAGTGCAAGCTTGATGAGGACATTTATATTGCCCAACCAGCTAGTTTTGTGGATCGTGATAAACCGGATCATGTCTGCAAGCTTGTGAAAGCGTTGTATGGCCTGAAACAGGCGGCTCGTGCATGGTACATGGAGTTTCCCACATTCCTTCTCAACTCAGGTTTCACTAATTCTCAATCCGACGCTTTGCTTTTTATCTTGCTTCATCCCGGTATTATGATCTTTGTCTTGGTCTATGTCGACGACATCGTCATCACAGGCAATGATTCATCTACTATTGAACAGTTCATTGGGCTCTTGGGTAAACTTTTTTCGCTAAAAGACTTGGGAGCTCTCAGTTACTTTCTTGGCATCGAAGCTCATCGAAATTCCAAAGGGCTCCTGCTCACGCAACAAAAATACATCACAGACTTGCTCGCTCGAAACAACATGTTGGATGCTAATCCTGCCTCCACACCTATGACATCAAAATTCACATTGAATCTCAGCTTTGGTTCTCCTCTTCTTGATGGATGAGAGTAATGTACCGTTGTTGGTAGCCTCCAGTACCT